AAGTTTTTGTTGCTGGTAAAAGTATAGTCCCTTCAATGACAGATGACGTTTTCGAATTTATCGATTTTGTTAATAGTAGTCATTATGCTTTTAGTATTTTACATCCTGATGAACATTCTGAATTATTAGAATATATTATTTATATAAAAATAGAGGTCGCAATTTTTGGCATGTTGAGCACAGAAAGTTTGACACGTTCCCAGAGCTCACAGAGTACTTTCAAGATCGGGTGATAGGTAGACGGATAGTTAATAAATATAAACACTTATTGACTCCCTTTCCAGATTCTCAACCTATTATCCCAAAACATGCTGATATACACGAACTTAATGACTATGAAGAAGTTTCGGTTTTAGAACAGGAATTGACATATGAACAAACTGACGTAAAGAAACAAATCGAAACTTTATCATTAGCAAACATTTTGGAACCTACTATAACATATAAAGCACAGACTGTAAGTAACGAGGCAGACAGAGACGTGACTGCTATTTTAGACAATTCATGCACTTCCACTTCTAATCCTACTAATCTGACAAATATAATTATACCAAATATTAACAAATCAAACATTAATTCTACACCATCCTACAAAAATAATTATACCAAATCCTAAGCAATTTTTACCAATTTCCAATTCCATACAATCACGAAATTCTATATCGACTTTACTAAATTATAACAGAGCCCTGCCAAATCCTAATAGATCAAGATCATATTTTAAACATCCACCAATTTCATTTATGTTCAATTCTTATTTAAAATTTATTCCTAAAATTATTCCAAAGTTATCAAACTTCAATTTTAATATTTTCAATATTCATTCTTTCATAAAAATTCAAATTTTACTACCATTATGCCATAATTTGTTTAATTCTAGATTTTTAATAAACAACTACAATCTTTATTTTGGCAGAAAATCTAAAATAAAATTAAAAATTGTTTTAGTCAAATACGAGTTTCTTTTGAAATTCTCTACTAAATTTAAGTTCATTATCATTCCATTTTGTCCATCAGCAAATTTCTAGATCATTATTTATTAAAATTTTAATTTTCAAACTATCTAATTCACTTTGTTTTTTTTTTTATAGATTCTATTTGTTTATTTAAAACCTTCCATTCTTCCAAACTTTTGTTCCTTCGAGAACCAATTCCTTAATATTTTGTAACGAGAACCCTTCGATAAACCTTATATCGATAATCTCCACATCCTAAAATTAAATTTTCATTATTAATTTGATATCTCACTGAATTTAGAGCCCAATTGTTATTTTCTAAATTTGATAAAATTTATTTTATTTTATCGAGTCTCAGCTATTGGTTTATAGATTTTCATAGATTTTTATTCGTGTAATGCTCGTTTTTTACCGGGTGCGCATATAGTGTGTTAATACAATTACAGATATGATTTTATTTGAAATTTATAATGATTTATTGGAAATCGTATTGATTATAGTTTTTAATAATAGCGAAATTATAGTTTAATTTCGAAATAAACAGTCTATTATTTCAACATTTCGGGAGTTCATGCATCATGCATATGATGACATACGACAAATTGCTGCTTACATTTACATTTACCTTGTAGTGATATGCATTATTAACTTTTCTAGCATCAACTACAACTACAAATATGCCCAACATAAAAAATTTCAAAGTAATAAGTGACATTCCACTAGAAGAAGTCCTCATCATATTAACAGATATTGATACAAAATCCTATTGGGAGGAAAAGATTGTGTAAGTGATTTAAATCCACTTTTTTATTATTTAGAACATGTGTATAATTAGAAAACTTATTATTATAGCTTAGATGTAGAACTGATGAGACCTCAAAAGGTAGGAGAAATTTTTGCAACAAAATCCTATCTTGGACATGTGGTTCTGCTCTGTGCAACATCAAAAGGGAACAAAGGTATATATTTCTGTATATGTATATATATATATATATATATATATATATTATATATATATATAGTATATAAATTTTTAGTGATTTTTTTTTTCAATTTGGAAGAATTTGAGCTCTTGGGAGCAAAGAAATTCGAAAATGACCATATTAAGGACTACCCTAATATATATCACAAATTATTTTACGTAAATATTCAGGATTGAGATACGGATTTTTTTCTCTGAACATTCTCTGCGTTCAATTAATTATTTGTCCTTGTGTTGATCGGAACAGTATTATTATTTTTTTATTACACTCATATTGCCGACCACTTTGTAATGATTAAACACATGTTTGTTTAATTATTACAAAGTGGTGTTTAATTACAAAATCACACAACGATAACAGCCCCTAAATATTTACAAAGGTTTTATTTATCCTTCCTCAAACTTGAATAATATATCATGAAAATGTAACATACTTGATTTCATTATCTTTTTTTATAACAGATTTCGACATGATTTCCATTGGCTTGTGTTTCAAGGCAATTGAATTAATGTACGAAAAGGAGGAAAGTACATTATCTCGTCTACCAGTATTGTATGATGGCGAAAACGTAGAAATATACTTCGAAAAATTCTTCAAAGAGAAGAAAACTATAATCTACACGCATAAAAAGGTAAGGTTAGATTCATATAATAATATATAAATACATTGATAAATATATTTAGCATTCAGCTATTATTATTTATTTATTTATTTATTTATTATATTATTAATTATTATTTTAGTCCTCAGACAACCAAGCAAATTGGTGCAAAAGGGGGGGACCTGGCCAACAGAAAGGAGAAAATAAGAAGAGTGGCGATAGTCGCGGCGGCCAAGGATACAATCGCGGCGGCCAAGGATACAATAGCGGCGGACGATATAAAAACCACGGTGGTCAGAAAAACAACCGCGGTGGCGAAAATAATAATCGCGACGGGCGAGGCGACCGCGGCGGTTATAATGCTGCCAGCCGTGGCAGCGATGGTACTGCCCACCATGGCGGTCATACTGCCGTCCGCGACGAGAAGAGTGCCGCCTGCGATAACGTCCGCATATTTCCAAAACCTAAAAATGATTCAGATGAATTATTTAAAGTCCTCAGTGATTTTTTTCAAAAGAAATAATAATTTATAAATTTCAATTAATAATTTAAATAAAAAATATTTCTATTTTTATACTATTACATTTTTATTTTAGAGTATTTTAAATTCTATGCTATATCAATCATATCCTATCCTCATATCGATGATCCCATATTCAATGATACAGTATTATAAATTTAATTCCTACTTTCACTGAGTTCAAGAAGGTTTCAAGATTTAAACCTCGATTAACTTAAATGCTTTGTTTTTAAATTAACAATTTTATCTTTTCGAAAGAAATATCCAGTTTTCGACTCATTCATCAAATACTATTCTGTTCAGTAATTTAAACTTTAGTTTCATTTGGATCAAATATTTCAATTTGATTTGATTTTTTTATCTCTAATATACATAGTTTATTGTTTAGTTCTAATCATATCATGATGGATATTAAATCATTTCTATATGATATCTATATTTGACTTATGTTGATTCTATTTCATCTTTTGCATTATGTTTGTTAACTTATAGTTATGTCCTCTTCTTTTAAATTTCAAGAATTTATTTTTTATATATCAAGAGTATGTATCCAAAATCTTACAATCTTTGGACATTTTTGTGTTCGAGTTTTTACTAAATTTATTTTTACAATTGTTCACAATCATTTTTGAGGTTATGTTGAAACATTTAAATTTTCCATTGATATAGTGTAAATATTCATTAAATATTGCATTGAAAAGTTGAAAAAGTGATTAGGAGTGCTCTCAAAGAATACCAAGACGATCAACATAGTGAAAGTTGTGTTTTTTTGTGACTGTTACGCTTTTGTTACCGTCTACAGTCCACTAGAGTCTATGGCATAGGCACAGGCATGATTGAGTTGGCAACACTTCTAGAAGATGATACTAAGGGTGCGTTCGACTTGGACGCTTACGCGCTTTCATCGTTCGACTTGGCGCTGTGAGTGTCACATAAGTACGCTCGTAGCATCATCGTAGCATGTTCGTAGCACATATTTTGCGCTCATACGTGCTCACGCCACGGAGGTAAGGCACTTGAAAGTGTCATGGCCGTTTATCAAAACGAATGCATGGAATGCATAATCTAATCCTAATTTCATTCATTCATAGTTCAATTCTTAGTTCAATAAGTACGCAAAAATGGCGAGCTGTGCATTACAATTATTTTTTAATATTAATATTAATAATAATTAATTTTAAATTTAATTAATTTTAAATTATTTTAAATTTTAATTTTAATATTACTATTAATTAAGCATAAGCTAACCAAATTTTATTTATTCATTAATTGTTAAATTCTTTAAGTTGCATATCACAATTATTTTTTAATATTAATATTAATTAATTTTAAATTTAAATAATTTTAAATTTTAATTTTAATATTAATATGAATTAAGCACAAGCAAACGAAATTTCATTTATTTATTAATTATTAAATTCTTTATAATCCCGCTGAATGATCCAGAAAGTAATAAAATTTACACAATTACCGTTATCGCCAGTTGCCGCCATTTTGATGCGGCGGAATTTAGTTATCGATTCTAAGCGCTTATCGGCCAAGTCGAACGCTAAAAATTTGTGCTTATAAGCGTGAGCGCTCACAGCGCGTAAGCGTCCAAGTCGAACGCACCGTAACAAAACGGAAATCCTTTATTTTGTTTTTGAGAGTTCGAGCGCCACGAGTTTCCGTAACCTATTTACTAATTAGAATTTTGTAGAGAAGCCGGAGTTTCTGTAAGTAAATATAATAATTTAGATATATGTGCTTGTTTGTATCAGAATTCTGATAAAGATATCTTTTCACAAAATTTTGAATTATCAGAATTTACAAGTTTGTTTGTATTACAAATAAAGTTGTTTATTTATTATTACAGTTATTCACGATGTCTAAGAAATTCCCAAGACACGTTTATTAATTGCAAAAACAATTGCAATGGGGACTTAATACCATCCAGCAGTTCTTGGCAACAATGTGGAATGTGATTAAGATGGCTTCACTTTGAGTGTGATCCCAGTTTAGCTTTACGTTCCTTATCACCAGCATCTTTAGGAGATCCAAATTTTAAATATTTTTGTGTTCCATGTGAACTACATATCGAAAATAACACATATCCCAAATTAAAGTTGGATAAAAGTCATCTAAAAAGAGAAAGACAATATGTAAAAAGACCTGAACCTTTTCTAAGAATAAGTTAATGGTACTAATAACATTTTTTTAATAGATTATAAAATAATTAGCAAAAAAGTGGAGTTTTTTAATTTTCATACAGTAAATAATATCTCCACTGCACACCACTAATTTATAAACAAAAAAATAAGATGAGATGTAATAAACTGCAGAAAAATAACAAAATAATTAGCAAAAAAGTGGTGTAATTTTCATACAGTAAATAATATTTATAAAAGTTCCACCAAATTAATACTTCGTGCAATACTATGTGAGGGTGATTTTTGAACTATGTTTATAGAAAGTTGTCACAATAAATTAAAGATCATGTTTTTAGATCGCAAATGCTGCAGGCGGCTGGACAGAGCAGTATTTTAAATGTTGAAAAGAATGCGTTTCACCAGAGAAACCGAAACTAGTTGGTTTGGTATTTAGCCTTGAGGCAAGTTACATGAACTTCCCGATATGTGTAAATAATTGACTTAATCAAAAAAAAGTGTAAATAATATACTTCATCAATCCTACTTAAAAAAAACGATAATAATTTTAGAAAAGTTTGACGAATTTTTAAAATTAAACTACTTGTCGTAAGGCCGTAATATTACAGTAAGTTCTATAAGACCATGATGTATATCGCCAAAAAAAGTTCCATGAAAATCGGCTTAATTTTTTTTTTCAACAGTTAATTACAAGAAAACGGCTCGGTAGATTTTCACCTAAAATTAATCAGTACCATTCCCAACTAATATCTTTCGAACAGTTTGATTTTTTAAAATCGGTTCGGTAGGATGAGCTTAAATGTGGACGAAAAGTTTAACACTTTTTTCAACAGTTAATTACAAGAAAACGGCTCGGTAGATTTTCACCTAAAATTAATCAGTACCATTCCCAACTAATATCTTTCGAACCGTTTTTGATTTTTTAAAATCGGTTCGGTAGTATAAGCTTAAATGTGGACGAAAAGTTTAACACTTTTTTCAACAGTTAATTACAAGAAAACGGCTCGGTAGATTTTTACCTAAAATTAATTAGTACCATTCCCAACTAATATTTTTCGAACAGTTTTTGATTTTTTAAAATCGGTTCGGTAGGATGAGCTTAAATGTGGACGAAAATTTAACACTTTTTTTCAACAGTTAATTACAAGAAAACGGCTCGGTAGATTTTCACCTAAAATTAATCAGTACCATTCTCAACTAATATCTTTCGAACAGTTTTTGATTTTTTAAAATCGGTTCGGTAGGATGAGCTTAAATGTGGACGAAAAGTTTTACACTTTTTTTCAAATTGCAAAGAAACGGCTTGGCAGATCGTCGCACAAAACTGACAAACGAAGTCCTCACCGAAATACATCAAATGGCTTTAAAATTTTCAAAATCGGTTCAGGCGTTTTTGAGAAAACGTCGATCAAAAGTCTAATTTTGACAAATGCCAAAAAAACAATACCAAAGTTTGCAAACTTTGACGAATTTTTAAAGCTGAACCAGTTGTCGTAGGGCCGTAATATTTTAGTATGATCTAGAAGACTGGTATCTACCGTCAAAAAAATAATCATGAAAATCGTCGAATTTTTTTTTTTTAAACTTTATTACAAGAAAACGGCCCGGCCGATCTCTACCAAAAACTAATCAGCACGATTCCCAATCAATATCTTTCGAACGGTTTTTGAATTTTCTTAATCGGTTCAGAATTGCGGGCTAAAACGTGCACGAAAAATCTTTCACTTTCTGCTATTTATAAAGAAATGTCTCGGCTGATCGTCCCACAAAACTGGCAAAGGATAGTCCTCGTCGAGATGCATCGAATGGCTTTTAAATTTTTGAAATCGGCCCAGCCGTTTTCGAGAAAACGTCGATTTACGGCAAAAAATCTGTTCACACACACATACACACACACACACACACACACACACACACACACACACATACTTTTTCCAAATTTGGTCTCATTCGATTCAGAATGGCTTGAAACGTCGAGAAAACATAAAATTAGAGAATAGCAGCATGAAAGTTAAGAAAATTTTTATATAGCTTTCTGGGCAGATAAGTTTTTAGGACTGTATATAGCATAAAAAATCTAAACTCTGTCGCCATCCATTTTTCTAGATTCAGACTCCGATTTTTTATCCAAGAATTCAATAGTGAAATGAAAGAAGATTTTTTACCCAAGAATTAGCATATAATTAAAAAAAAGTGGTGCACATGTGGAAGACATTCTTTTATCCGAAATTTAAAAATCGTATATATAAAAAGTAAAATATTCAACTTGGGTTTACATGGTACAAGCAACGACATGAAAAAGCATACTCGAAATAAAATCGATTACAAAATGCGCAGTCTCTTGTATGTTCAAAAATAAATCTTATGTATAGCTTTAATATAGTGGCAAAATAAAAAAATGAAAGTAAAATTATAAGAAACATGTTTTACTTTTATTATAGCGATAGTATGTGCTATTAGTAACTATAATTATATTATTAATGATTCATATAATTTTACATTCATTTTAAAGTTATCACATTGAATGTATTGTAGAAATGTATTCAAGCGTTTGTAGTTTTCCAATTGTAAGTTTAGTGAAAAACAAAGAAAATTTTATTATATCTTACCAGTTTATTCTACAAGTTACATGTGTTGATCGTTGAATATTTAAAATTAGTAAAATATAGCCTATTGCATTAAAAACTGATTATTCTCTTCAAACATTTCTTAATATTTGCAAATATCAATACAAATTTTTAATATCGATTTCGAGTGCGAATCGATTTTACTCTATATTACTTTTTCTTTATATAATATCCATGCTGCATAACATGTTTCAATTTCCTTTTTATATCAATTTAACAAACTTAGTAGATACATATACATAAGTGATTTGGTAAAGGTTGGGAAGAACTTTTACCAGAGATCAGTTGAGTCATTTTAAGGTCCCAAGATTTTACAATCACAATTGAATTGGACAAATCAATCTTCACGACCTTGAATAATTTATATAAGTATTGAAATATCTTCGTTTGCCAATAGATTATAGCATTTTATACATGGTTACGATTTGCGTACAAATTAAAACAATCCTCTTGATTTGAACCTTTGAGCGAATATTATTTATTGTGATGTCACTTCCTTCTTCGACTAAACTAAGGTCAGTTATACCATTTGATCCATGATTAACAAATCCGTACAAATTAAAACTATGTTTCTGATTAATTATGCATGGCGATGAAGAATCTACAAGCTAATACTATTTATTGTGATTGCACCTTTTCTAAATATCTCAAAATTATTAAATGTGTCAAAATTCCTTCTGTAACTGAATTATAGATATCATTTTATTTAACATTCTGTATCGATCTTCGAAGAAAAATAATCTAGTAGCCAAATAGATCCAAAACTAAATAAAAAATGTTGAAGTATGAAGTATGAAGTATTCATACTTTGCATCCGCTTCAAATTTGATATTTGGTTAATAATGTAAATCCAGAGCGCTTTCTTCTATTTGGTCGAAAACTACTTTGAATAGTTCACGATCATAAAGACATAAATGTCCTTGACTGTGTTGGAACTAACTTCTATTTGGAGTTTTCAAATAGTTTGGCACAATAAAGCCATCGAATCATTGCCATCACAATGATCATTATAAATCAAATTTCCTTTTTCATTGTCATGTGTGATTCTTCAACAAATAGACCAATAAAATTGTAATGTAAATAAATCATAATTACTGACACTATCGAAATCAAAATTGTATATGAAATATCGTGCATTATACACTAAATCCTCGTGTTATGCATTTGTCTCAATCAAAGTTAATTCCTTCCATGACATGTTAGTTATATGCTCATGTTATTTTACGTAAGAGCAAACCTATGCTCTCTTCAAATATTCATATCGTCTGTCATATTGAGATAAATGAGTAATTATAGTAAATATTAATCATATTGTTTACTATCTTGTTTTACTTCCAAAATTACTTAATTGTTCTGGTTCCAATTCGCAATTTCGTTATTATATAATCGTTAGTTGTTGTTGAACCTCAATAACAGTGCTTTTACTTCAATTCATTCATTATCTCTTGTTTCATGTACGTAATAATTTTTCATTCCATTCATAATACTCCTATTACCAAAGGAGAAATAAAATCGACTACAAATATCTATTATCTTAACATTTCCTATTATTTTCTTTAATATTAATTTTATTTTCTTTTCTGAATTATTTATTTTATTTCCAAATTTATTTTGTTAGCATTCAACAAATAAAGTTTCTTCGTGACTGCTAAATATTTTAAATAATTTTACATATTCAAAGACTAAATCATCACACATTATTTAGTTTTATTATCACAACATTAATTTCGAAAAAAATCGCAATTCAAGAAAACTACCGACAAATTTACAATACATTACATATTGATTTACTAACGCGTTTGTTTTTTTAGATTTATTTTCGCTCAACAAGAAACTCATGAGCAAATAAAATTATATGGAACATAGTAGCACACGTAACTAAACAGCTCAATATTTAGAAAATAATTAAAAAAATGTCACATTCTAACAATTTTCTAGATTTACTAAAACACGAGTTATGCTTTTTATGTAGTGGATTGGCATGCAACACTCTACCAAATAGAAATAAAGAATTTGAATATAAGAATATTTGAATATTCTTTAAATTCAAGATGTATAACTTGAGGTTGCCTTCTATAATTCTAGTATTCTATTGATATGTTTTGGATTTTGAGTTCTCTACATGGTGCACCACTAGTACTACAACCTAGTAATACTTTAATTGCAAGTATTACCTTGATAAGATTTCCATTAAAAAATTGTCATAAGAGTATTGTTCCACTCATCTTTAGTTGAATTTTGGACAAATAATAAAATTGTTCGCGCCAAACACGCAGCCTACATAGGATGTCGTAATTTACGATAAGGAGGATAAATGTGGACATATACCTTGTTCGTGGGCTCTCA